TTCTGCTTCTGCTGGAATCACACGCTTAATTCGGCAGCTGAATATGGAGGTCGACCTCAATTGTTATCGCTCAACGGCTGAAATTTTGCGAATTCGAGTTATTTTCATCTAGATTTGTATCAAAGCTATTCGAATAATTTAGACAAATCCGATATTATCCGATGGCTTCCACATTCAAGCCACATTCAGCTCCCACATTCAGCGTGTGATTCCGGCATTCTTCAATAATTTGCACGAGTCCAGACAATTTTGCAAACCTGGGAAACGTGGATATTATCGTGACAGCGGAAGGATGTGTTAAGTGCTGAATGGGGCTCAATGGAATCTTAAATAAGGTCGAAATGGGGGCGCGCGCCTACGAGGGTTGACAACAATAACATATAAATAAGTACAAATCGATAGTTACTTTGCTCTATAATTGGACCGTGCTCTACAAATGGAACCACTATTTTTGGCTCATTTTAGAAACAACAAATGCGCCATGAGTTGCCCCATGCAGATAGGTGTTTTTATGAATAAGGCAGGAATAGAAGTCTCTTATTGCAAATGTCAATGCATTTTTCCACGCGTTCTGCATATCAGTGTTGCGCTCTTTCGGATAAAATTTTACGTAAAAATAATTTTTATGATAATATATATGAAAAAAAGGGGAAAAAATGAAAAAAAATCGATATACCTGTGAATTTCGTGTTTAAAATTCCTGGAAAGTCAGGGACTTTTGAAATCCAAGAAAACTTTTCACCCTGTCCAGTTATGTCTCTATTTTCTAGAGATTCCAGTAAAATTTTCCCAGTAAATGTGTGTCAAAAAAATGAAACCCGAGCGGAGATGTTTAATGTTGCATTGGAGTTAGGCATTTTTATACTCAACCCATCCTGGCGTGATAGCGAGGAGAGCAGTAAGTGGAAAAATGAAGTTTTGAGAAAACTAACTCTGAAGCTTCTGACGAGAAAATTTTTTTGAAAGAAGCCTCTGTTCCTCGTCAAGTTGCCACTAATCGTCCGAAAGACTCCTAGAAATCATTTACATGATTAAAAATCCACTGATTTTATTTCAATCACATAGAAATGGTATTTTTCATTTTCATGTTAGGTTATATTGTTACGCAAGACAGCCGTAAGTGCTATCCTCTGCATGCTCTCGTGGTTGCGTTTTGAACACACCACAAACACAGTTTCACGTTAGAAATTGGCAGAAGAGGGCGGTACTTTACTTGAAAGCTTTCTTTTCGTCGGCTTTCTTGAGGAATATTGTCACTTATTGCTGTCTTGCCTAAGACTACGTCATTTTTTGCGCACTTACGGCTGTCTCGAAGACAAATTTTGAAGAAAACTCGATCTCGAAAATCTTACACTTAACGGCAGCATCGACGATGCGCACCATATACTCCTGATTATGACCCTACAATCAATAGTATTGATATCAACACCAAGGGTGCAGGAAGTTCATCAGTGTACGCTTTCACCAGAAAAACGCAAAATTTCCCTACGCACTATTACACAGCGGGTCGAAGTAATTTTGACAAAAAATACTTGTTTTTTCGCACTGGCGGTCGAAGTGAATTAACAAAAAAAAAAAATTAAATCAGCGCGGTCGAAGGAAAGACAGAAGGTGAGCACGATTGAAGTAACTTTAACAAAAATCAGTGGGAATGAAGTAAATCTGACGAAAAATCAACGCTGTGGAAGTAATTTGTACAAAAAAACAGCGTGGCTACCGCCGGAGTGTACACCGTGTTTTGCTGTTGACCGCTCACCCGCGAGGTATGTCTCGCCAGATTGTGAACATTCTGCACCCCTGATCGGCTCCTATAGATACAACTACTCGTGTTCTATGGATGGGCGTGTTGCCTGCAGGAAAAACCGAAGGTGCTCCAGCATCTCTTCCCCTGATGCGCATGCGTGTCAAGTCGCTCATCGCCACGCACGCCACCAGCATCTTTATAGAGCAAGAAATGGAAAAGCTGGCTCTTTCCGATTTGTTAACACTGAAATGCGGTGTTTATATCTCTTTAAAATTTTAAATATGGAAATTAAACCGTAACGTTCGTTTTCCTGGAGTAGAACATACTTTTTGAATGATGACTCTATTCCATAAACCACACTATTTTCGAGAAAATCGATAGTAAAAACAAAAATGTCTGTAATCACAACCTCTTCATCGACCTCTTTCTAAAATGCCCGAAATGTAAATATCTCATTTTGTTCTCCATACCAAGTTTCATCGTCTCTCGAGGATGATCGGCATTTTGCACTCTCGTTTGGCGAATGACTTTCATCGTCGAAACTCTTATCTTGCATTGTCCTTTGTCGATCAAGTTCAGAACGGAAAGCTTTCAATTCTCAACGCAGAGCAGGAGGTTGCAGAGTCGGGTTATCGGGTACTATGCCGTATCGTGACGAGGAAAGTCAGAGCGCCTTCAATTTTCCGCAGGCAACACGCACATCCGTACGGCACGAATAGTCGTATTCAAGCGTTGATATCAACGCATGGACTCATTAACGTGAATAGAGAGCACCACTAAAGTTGTGGGCAAGGTGATTGGGAGAAATTATGCTGTTTGCCTTACCTAGGATTCGAAGATGAAAAAATTGGCAACTTACGCGGGCGTTTTAGCGTTCATTACACTTGTAATTGGGACGCTGCGCGGCTAGTTAGTGCACCCGTTTCGTCGCGCTACTCCTGGCTCATAGTAAGTCGTAATTGCTATGCGTTATCGCTTCCAAAGTTTACAGAATACAACCGACTCGCGTTATCGTCAATGTTTTTGTTTTATTCCTTGCTTTGTGCATTCTATTTGGCTGGACCCCTTCGCCACAACGCGGCTCGCCCCGCACCCTAACAAGGCTGCTTCGCGGCAGTTGTCGCAGTAGAATTTATTCAAGTGCTTTGTGTGACTCTCTGCATGACCTGAGTTGAACGGCCAACTTGAAGCAATAGACTTAATTGCCTAAAGTCAATTTTCGAGAAAACACGAAAAAACCTATATTTTTTGGACAATTGTTTATATTTATGTGGAACACACAGCATCCGTAATAAGACGCGAGGAGGGTCGGAAGAATTGGGATGAAATATAATTATTTAAAATTTTGTGGTTACGCTCTTCTTCCAGAAAAGCACCCCTCGTGTCATTTTCAAGAAAAATACATGCTTGTTGGATGACAACATCAAAAATCATAGTGTGTGTCCTTACTCGTGGTTTTCATCATGGAGGAAGAGCCCTCTGTTGGGCGGGGCGAGAGGTGGCTCGGAAATTCCGCCCTTTTTTCACTGAAGCAGGTATTCAAATTCTAAAAACAAGACGTTTAAAGCGCAATTTTGGTAAAATGGCTCAGTAATGAGATGCGCCCGCCGGCCCGCCCTCAAAGAATATTATTCCGTTATGAACCTATTTCTGAAAATTGGCGGTTACGCTCTTCTTATTAAAGAGCAATTTCGGTAGAATCGCTCTGTAATGAGGTGCCTCCACTGCTTCCACCCTCCACTAGTATTCCGCCAAAAACTCAATTTCTGAAAATTTGACTGTAACGTTCGTCTTTAAGAGCAATTTTGGTGGAATCGCTTGGTACTAAAATGCGTCAAAGCTAAAAGAATAGTATCCTGCCAAAAAAATCCGTTTCAGATAATTTGGCGGTTATACGCTCTTCTTCAAATAACTCGTCCCATATGGATCATTGTGAAGTTTAAAGCTGACTCAGGTGTTTTCCTGTGCTTTTGCATTTTAGTTGTGCAATAGTTCGGGATGAGTAAGTGTGAGCTCTTGAGCCCCTGGCTCGAGCACCGAGGCTACCTTGGACATGTGTACTTCTTCGCGTGTTCGCTTGTTCGCCTCTCTTCCTTTTTCGCACGTTCCGCTAGCGAGGCGTGAACGATCGATTATTAATGTTTCCCCTTTTAAAGATGTGGCAAAGAATCGATTATTAAGGTGTTCCTTCCGAACTCCCTGTTTGTCGATCCTTTTCCATGCGTTTAAATGGTGGAGCGTTCGATGTATCGCAAAGGACGCGACGCGACCGGCACGTTGCGAGTCAGGCTTGCCGAAGCTCCACGCGGAAGACCCCCCTTCTCGGCCAAGTTCCCTGGGGAACCCGCCCGTCCGGCAACGTCGCCGAGCTCTTATTACGGGTGATTAACTCGGCATATTTTATCAAATTTGAATTCTGGGCGCGCTTCAGCTTTCAGTCGACGGTCAGGTCTTGTCCGGTCCGCGCCGCGCCGCGCCTTCTTTGAATTTTCCGATTGTTTTCCATCCGCGAGCGCGATTTTGCCTCCGAATTCCCGGTTTTATCTCTGCGGTTACTTTTTTGCTTTCACTTCGTTTTGCCTCTCATTTTCGTTGATATGAAGCGCTGAATTTGAGCCTTTAAGTGATTTTAACGATTCTTTCCCATGAAAGATGAAGTAAGGTCGGTCTTTTCGGTCGTCTCTGATAAATGAAAAAGTAGAGTTAAAAACTTGATGGTCACCGTGAGGCATCCATGCTAAAATTCGTCGTCACCTTCTCAAAACAACGCATCTCCTTTTCAATGTTGCCAGATTACCCCTAGAAAATTGCATTTTTACCCAAGGAGAGTCTAGGGAATTTTGAACTTAAAAGTTGACTGATTTTTCGCCTGACCCCATTCAAAAATCCAAGAAATTTTGGAGAAAAACTGCACTCGTACATTCTCGTCGATAAAATGAATTGTGTGAGTCAATTTTTCACCCTTGGAATGGAGATACGTTCGCCTCATGGTATTCCTCATCATAAAACAATCTGCCTCATCGAAAATTCAATATTTTTGAGAATTTTGGCTTTTACGCCCTTTTTCAAATAACTCGTTCAATCGGACAGCGTTCAGCAGATAGGAACCGTGCCACATCAGCTACTGCCTTTAACTGGGCAATTTAATATTTTACAAGAGAACATTGATGCGGATTCCGTTGAAAATTTTGAGGAAGATGCTTCGTTCTATATATGCAGAAAATTCACTGTTTGCACAAAAATCCGCACAACCGTTTTAATGTGAAAAATTAAACTGAGTAATGAAATTCGATCATAACTGATGTGGCTCGGTTCCTTTCTGCTTAACGCGGTCCAATTATTAGTAAGCATGAATAAAGTGAGGAATAGGCTGGAAAGAACTCGGGCGGCGGGTGGGCCTCTGAAACATTTCACCTCCTATCCACGCGGGACGCTATCCGTTCATCATGCGAGGCAATAGTCCTCGCCTCATTATCTCCCAAGCACGGTAGCACGCTTTGATCGCGAGCGATAGTTGAGATTCCGTGTTTACATTCACGGCTCTGTTTAGTGTTTACGAAGAAAAAACGATGCTATAGCTATGTCATGTCTGTCTCCAATTCAGGCAATTCAGCCAATTCTCCATCTCTTCACGACCGGGACCGGCATTCTGAGTCTTGTCCCTGCGCTGCGCTGTGTCTCGTGCTCGAGTCCACCAGTTACCTAAGTCATGTAACCCGATCGCTTTTTGGTTTTTCATTCTTCTCGCTCGAATTATTTACCAACAGTTTCGTAGAAGACGTGCACCGGGATTATTTGCCGGATTTTTAGCGTAAAGCACTGTGCAGTGCGCCGCGCCGCGCCGCGCCGCTTCGATTAGTTCGATTGTCTTTTTTCTGAGCGAGTATAATTCGTCACTCCTATGGCGTAAGGACGCGTCTCGATCTCCGCATGAGTCTCAGAAATCATGGTTTCTTATGTATAACAGAGTTCATGATGTGGAAACGTACCTGTTTTAAACTTGAGCAGGAGCTACAAGAATAGTTATTTCTTCTAAAAATTGGCTCAAAAACCAGGATAAGCGCATCGGGAAAGATTCCTAACTTGACAACCTGCGTAAGAAATATGCTTTTTTGTTGCATCCCGCTTCTGAAACGACACTACGGCATAGGTGAACATAATTTCGTGAGAGGAGTCGTTCCATCCAACACTCAGTGCGCATTGGGATGCTAAGCAATATTCAACATGACCGACGCCAGCCCGTCTAAACACACGTGACGAGACGGGATTTTATCAAACGGCGTGGTGTTTTTAAGGGTTCGTTAACTGTTGACAAATTCCGTCAACAGTTTACAAAATACGTCATCAAAACAAATTTCCGTTCTCCGGTTGTGATTAAATGGGCGTGGACTAGCCTTTTCCGCCAAATCGTCCGTTATTAAGTGTGATTTAATTTTCGTCAAGAGTTTCCGGTTTCGCGAACGTGCTCCGGACCACGTTATCGAATCTGTTGACGATTCTGGTTGAGAGAGTGAAACCCATCAAGAGTCCTGTGAACAGGCCACCGGGCTCTGATTGGTTGATGAAAATACCACCTTGGTAAACGCGCAGGAGCCAATGGCTGTTTACGGATTTCGTTAACAGTTGACGAAGGAAGATTGCCTATTATCGATGGGTTCCTTCCGTTGATGAAGACAATGGTGTTGACGATTTGGGCGCGGAAGCGTCGGCTATGTTGAATATTGTGCAGCATCCTAGTGCGCAAGGCTTGGATGGAGTGACACCTCTTGCGGAATGTTCATCTACAGCGTAGTATCGTTTTTGAAGCGGAAAGCTTATAAATACGCTTATTTCTTACTCACATCGTGAAGGTAGGAGTGTATTTGAGACTTTGCCGATGCGCTCATGGTGATTTCCCAGGAATTTTTTTACAAGTTACAACACTTGCTTTTGCTCCAACTAAAGTTTGCAAGAGGCCCATTCGTGGCTCTTCTGCCTCGAGTTAGGTTAGAGGAGTTTAAGAGTGTATCTTGCGCCCCTGTTTGAAGTTTAAGGAAACTTGTCACTGCGCCTAACTTTTTTTTTTAAATTTCAAGTGTTGATCTGTAATTGGGCTATATTTTGCAATTGGGAACTACAATTTCTAGTTCATCAGTGAAAACACGCAGGTGAATAGGGAAACTGATGATAGATACATTGTCTCCAAACTAAGCCATAAATTCCTCGTNAGAAAATCGTAGCCTTATCTCAATGTTGTCGAATTTCTCCTCTCCATCTGCATTCTTACGTTGAGAATCTTGAGTATTTCTAACCGAAAATATCACTGATTTCTCTCCTGATCTCGTGCAAAAATCAGACAAATCTTGGACAACTCAGGTACATTTTTAGGCATGAAAAATTAAATCGTTATTTGGGTGGATTTTGCAACTTGGGATTGGAGCCACGTTCTGGGAGACGACGAATTATAGCTCCGAACCGAAAAATGGAATCCAACTATCGGTCCCTTCCTATCCTCCAAAATTCATAGTTCATAGATCGCAGACAACTCTATCGCTTGCCGACTAGTTGAGCCTCGTTTAAGCTCCCACGGGTATTTGAGAGACCAATTTAAGTAGCTAAAAACGCTAAGAGTGTTGAAAAAAGCTGCGTCTCAGGACTGAATTTTTCCAAGCGAAAGAAATTCCCTGCTTCAATTGCGAGCATGGTACCTCCGAAGCGTATTTTCGGCCGATGCCGAATCGGAAGTTGAGCAAGCATGGAAAATACTTTGGGGGCGCTGCCAAGTGAGTTGATGGTGCCGTGCCGGTAGCGGTAGGTACCGTGGTACCGCCATCCAGAATCGTGATTCGTGACGTATTGACGTGACGTGCGAGCGTGAAATAGGAGCTCTCACCTGAGAACATTCATCGACGCTCTTGGGCGAGGTCTTGGACGGTCTTGAGTGACGTGACGTGACGTGACGTCACGATGGTGGATAACATGGCCATGGCACCGGCGACGACGACGACGACGACGACGACACCCGCACCCGACGATGCCCAAGTAAGTATGAGTCCCGGCCCCGCGGGCGCCCGCGGCCCGGCACTAGCCTTGTCCCTTGTTAGCATCTCGGGGGCCTCCACTCAGGAGGCTATGCAATATTGCAATATGCATGCCATCAACATGAATCCACCGAAAAATGAAAACTTAAATCCATCCACGTCTAGAGTACCCGTATAGGGAGAGTAGCGACAGATCTGAAACTCCGAAAGTCCATCAGGCCTTCACCGATGCCTCCGCGAATAAAGTTAGGGCCCAAAAGGGCAGCCAACCTATGAATTTCGAATGTCCAGAGCGATTTACAAATACAATTGTTACGAGCCGTCGTTTAGAAAGCATGTATTCGGTTTACTTTTTCCATAAATTTACTTATTTTTGCGAAAGAACGCTCATTTATGTACATTCTTAGCCATCTTGGTTAGAATTGAAATCTGTAGGCTGGCAGTGAAATTTTGTGTGTTACAAGTTGCTCAGAAGGGTGGCTGCACTTTTGGGCCCTAAGCCCTTCATGAACCGATCTGTCGCTACTCTCCCTATACAGGTACTCTATCCACGTCAACCTATCCACTTCGATGCCATCGGAAAATTTTTACTTGTATTATTATCAATTATTAAATGGACACACGGTGACACGGATTTGTCGATCCATTCACAGTCGCCGATCGAGTCACGCGGCGCGGCAGTCGCTTCAGCTTTTATTCTTCCATCGATTTATGTGTATCGAATCGACGCCGCTTTCTTAATCATTTCTATGCAATTTGTCGATGGAATTGGTGTCGTACCGATTCACGTTTTTATTTTTCGATGGATCCATGTCTATCAACTCCATAGCCCCCTCGCACATAATCCTTCTTTAAACTGCTCATCTCTACAGAATGCCCCATTTGGTTTAAAATGTTATTTTGGGAGGTTCAACGATATCCTCGACGTAGCCCCCGGAGGGCGCTTCGACTCGACAAAAGAACGACCAAAAAAGGCTGAAACGAAACGGAACAAACGGAACAGAGCGTTTCGTTGCTCTTGGATATAGTCTGTAGCAAATGAGCATACCTTCAATTTGCTTACCTTACCCTTCTAAAATCAGACCAAGATTCAACATTTCCCGCTTAGTTCAATTGTCCGCTTTTGAAATTCCCGCGATTTTTCATGGGCGGGAATTTCAAATTGTGTCCCCCTTCCTAAGCTTTCTGGTCTCCTCTAACATGAAAAAACCTAGGTCCTATTTTCAAATTCTGATTGACCGCAAATATCATGACAATAATCCGGGTACAACGCTCAAACGAACTGTGACAAAAAATAAAAAATTACATTTTTTAAATGGGAAAATTCGCACCTATAGCACGTAATACAAAAGATCTGGGTCATATTTTCAAAATCTGAATAAAACGGGTTCATTTAGAGACAATTGCCTGTCGATAGCCGCATAAATCATGAAAATCGGCCCGGTAGAACGCTGGAACTAAGCGTTACCAGATACACAAAGGGAGGTCTTGGAGCTTATAGTATAGATGAATTACACAAATTTCGCCAACCTCGAGTAAAAGTGAGCAGTATAACTTTAAAAGTGGATCCTTGAAAGGGAGGACAATTATTTGCTATGAGGCCTAAGCACAAAGAATGCAAAATCAAAAGAAAATAAATATCCAGTTTTGTTTTAAGGTAGGTGGTAGGTTCGTAGCTACCTGAAAGTTTGTCAAAATCATAACCTTTTTCTTTCTTGTTTTGTACTTTTTGCCGTGGCAAATCAGTGCAATCTCTTACAAGGACCCATTTCCCAAGTAATACTCCTGAATTTTACCAGAGGTCTGCAAAAATCGTCATTTTTAAGCTGCTATTTTGAGGGATTCGTGAAAGCTCCCAGAATCACAATGTAAACCAAATGGAGCCGGAGCCCCCTAACTCGAGGTGGAGTTTGAGGGGTGCCACACACGGGAGGGATGAGGCGCCCAAAAGTGAGGCTCTGCTGCGCGNGAAAGCTCCCAGAATCACAATGTAAACCAAATGGAGCCGGAGCCCCCTAACTCGAGGTGGAGTTTGAGGATCGGCTTTTGTTTACCCCCGCAGAAATCAACACCTTCATCTAAAGAAAATTTATGTAATGAGAAGCAACTGGCTTGTCATGTCGAGACTTGAAAAAAAGGGGAACAAATTGCACTTTTTAATATTCTATCTGGCAACGTTGCGTCATTATTGCGTCCCGTCCGGGCGTTCACGGTAATGATTTAAGTAATATTTTGATATCATTTCGTAGTCATCGTTCAAAATTGCATCCAGGAAAATCGATTATTGATAGGCTTCGGTTGATAAACATGACCATCGATATTAGCTCATTGATTGGTTCCGAGTTGCGAGGTGAGCTCAAATAGACAACACACACACACACACACACACACATTCGCCAACAAGGAAAAAACAAGGAAAAAAGAGGAAAACCTCAGCATGTTTAGGCACCACTACAATGCAGATTGCCGAGGTAGTCTTATCTTGGATCCCGTAAGCCTTTTCGTTTCACCTGGTTTCATCGTCCAAGTCTGTTCCTTTTTTTCCTCCCCCACTCTCTTTCTTATACCACTCATTGGCTGGAGTTTCCCTTGTTAATTTGGCGCTGTCTACATTTATTCAAGTAATTGTTGAAACTTCCATGACGGATTGTACGAAAACTGTGCCTCGTAGAAAGTTGGCACAATGATGACATTTGATCAGCATCCATGAACGAGTTTCAATCAATAAAAAAATTGAAAATCAATCAGGGCACACATTCTCGTTAGGAGTGTGCGGGGTTCTTTTTATAGAGTCTAGACTCGGAATCCAAGAGCCTTTTCCCCCCAGTGTTTGTACAGTTTATGAGCGTCCTAGGGGATGAGATCTCCGCCTCGTAGGCAGATCGATCGCAACATTTTTGCTATCGCAGTTGATCATTGAACTTTATTGGATTTGTTTACAATTAAATCTCGATAACGAACTGATAATCATGAACCGGACCGAGAAAGATACCTTCACTCTCGCCAAGTTTTGAGATCAGTTCTAAGCGAGGTTCTTTTCCAAGACAGTATCGTGTGGGCGTTGTATCAATTTCGCATCGGCCGGCTCTCAACATGGTGAGATTTTCCTACGCGAAGACCACTTTCTTGGGATATATTTTGAAATCTTCTTTATGATGTACAACGTCTTTTGCAGAGAATATCTCGGAAAAAATGAACACGAGGTTGTTGGATGATATGGAAATTTCGAATTAATTGTGGTAGTGCCTCAACAAATCAGGTTACTAACCCAACTATTGCGCTACTACCCCAACTATTGCGCTACTACCCCAACTTGAGTCGCGGTACCAGCACAATTGATTGGAAATGTCCATATCATCCAACAAATTGGGGTTGGACTAAAATAGGCGATGACCCCTTACACATTTTTCCCGTGCATATATTTTAAAGACCCTATTTCATACGACTCGTTTCTGAAAGAGGACAACCAACGGGACATGTCCATTTTTAGATGAGCCCTAGAACACTTATTAGCACTATCATGTAACCTGAAGCTCGTCTCAAAATGGTCATATTCCCTTTAGGAACAACTTATTCGCACGTAGTATGAAAATTATTGTCGCGTATAGATCATTTATTCGACTTTTCGTCCAACGAGCAATGAGTGATGTGTTGAGTAACAGCGTAAAACTAATATGACTTACCTAGTCAGATTTCGATGTTCTCAAAACATTCCCCCGGTCTGTTTGTCAATAATCGAGATACTCCCTCACGTCAGAAGAGTGACAAAACGAGGGAGTGGGGGGCAGGCGTCCCGTTTCGCACTTGAATACTCCTAATTGCAACGCTATCCTGCTGAGGAAAAACATCGTATGAGCATTCAAATGTTTCCTTCCCTCTCGGATTTTTTTTTTTTTTTTTTTTTTTTTTTTTTTTTTTTTTAAGTATGTATCTTTTTACTTGAAATTTTCAGACATTTTATATGAGCTGAAGACCAACACTCTGTGAGAAATCGGTAGAAAATTGTTTACAAATTTTTCCGAAAAGTCATGATTTGTGCAAGTCAATTTGGACGACGTTAAGCAGAAAGCCACATGAGCCATTGCCATATTTAATCGAGTACATTTAATTTTTTACATGAAAACGCTTGTGCGGATTTCGAGCGAACAGTGAATTTTCTGTATTTTAAGAAGGAAATTTCCTAAAATTTTCAAAGGAATCCTCACAAACGTTCTCATGTGAAAACTGAAATTGCCGAGTTAAATTTGGCGATAGCTGATGTGGCTCGGTCCCTTTATGCTGAAGGCGGTGCATTTGGCCACGTCCGAAGGCTCATAGGACGTTCTTCGTTAGGACGGGAGAACGGATGGGACGTCATATGAATCCATCATTGCTGTCGGAAGCGGGGAAACCTTGATGTCCCCGCGGGAACATTCCAGCGGGACTGGCGCACAGAGGATGGAGTCAATTTGAGAGGTCGCCCATGTACTTTTGAGTAAGACTGCAAATGTTGATGTTTATTTCCTCACATTTCAATTTTCAAGGGGTGCCTCTAGAGGAAAATTCCACGAAGAAACCAATGGAACCAATTTCAGAACTTGAAAGTTGTGTATAAACGGAGTTATAAGCGTTTAAAGTTGGCAGATTTTGTCCGAGCTTCCCTATTAACTGGATCCACCGTGTGGCGATGACTAAGCCCGGGCCGGGCGCAACGAGGCAGAACAATATTAAAACTTGAACATGGGACGTAATCTCTTGGGAGCAGCTCGACTACGCTCCGGAGCCGCGTGGGAAAAAGTTCCGGGAAATGAAACAAAGAGACACTGAAATTAAATATTGGATTTCTGCAAGTTGATGCATACGTAATTGCTCCAGCAACGATCTATAGATATCCACTATCCAGGTTTTTATTCGCCACTAGAGGCTGTCTTCATCGCCACGCGCCACGCCCTGGAAAAGCGCTCTACGCTCCCAAAAAACGCATGGTCGCCGTCACTCCGGAAAACTGGGAAAGTCAGGGAC